AATATTAGACTGAATATTGTTCAAGACTTAAAAACTGTTAGAAGTATTATTCTTCTTCTTCAGGATCATGCATTTTTATTATTACAACTATTAACAGCAATTATTATTATTGTCGCTATTTTTATTTATTGTTTATTTTCCATGCACCATTCTCTTCATTTTTTTATTGTATTTGAAGTAAATGAATCTTACAAAACTTTTTTTCAGTATCAATATGACGCGGGTACCAAAAAACCCAAAACAAGTACATTTTTTCTTTCTTGAATACATTTTCGAGATAATCTGGGCAATCGCGCATTTCTATTTGTAGACAACAAATAATTATTCTTATTTATTCAAACGATGATTTGTTCGTTTAAAATCGCATCTCAAATATTTCTGACTGTGAAAGTTTATGGACTCAATTTCCAGATGAGTTTTTTGAATGGACAGCTAAGAAAGTAATTCGCCGGCCAACTCCTCCTCCTGATCAAACTACGACAGAAGAGCGTTACAAAAAGATTAGCGGTAAATTTTACTATGAGTATTAAAGTCAAAACCCAGAATCCTCGTCATGGATCATTCCCTTTGAGTGTCTACTCAGAAGGAACTTCAATAACAATAACATGTATTAGCAGCAACAAGCAACTAGGCTCCCTCTTCAAGCTGTTACTTAGGAGCAAATTTGTTGATGTTTTTAACTTTCTGGCACATGTCAGCATCAGTTTACTATCAGAGCGAATGAACAAATGGTAGAGGGTTGTTTCCGTGGCTAATTAGAACCTCGAAGATCTACATTTGAGCAGCTTTACTTCTACACCGTGTCTGAGGTAAAGTAAAAATTACGTTCGAGCAAATTCCCAAAAATCTGAAAGTGCAAAAATTAGTTCACGTTTTTGCCGAAAAGGCCGCAAATACACACACACACACAAACAAACAAACAAACAAAGATACACATTCACAAACACACACATGCATGCAACACATACACACTTGCATAAAAACACACACACATGCATATTTGCATAGACACACAACCACATACACACGTGCACAAAAACGTACATACACTTACTTACACAAAAATACACATGCAAACACACATGCATGCACACGTATATAGTTATACGCACGCACACACTCAAAACACATAAGTAAGCGAACGCACGTGTACACACACACACACACACACACACACACACACACACACACATGCAGGATCGTGTGAGCAAACATAGTTAGTGGTCTGTATTACTAATTTATGCGTGTATCATCCATTGTTTTTACCACTCTTATTAAAGAACAATTTCAGGATATGTTTATAAACAGATCAAAGACTATGTGCTTCACAATATCGTCGAAATAATCAAGAAGGGTTGTTGCCCGAATGGTTTGGAAATTTTTTTTTTTACTTTACTGATGATCATTGGGCTTGGTGACACAACACAGGAAATAAAATGACCACTTGGGTAGCCTTTGAATGGACAGTGTGTGTATGTGAAGAAGGCAAAGGGTAAAAATAGATGACCAATAGCTACGGCAAAAAGATTATGGCATGGCCCTGTTCACGTGCATGTACTTCACATCGAGAACTTCACACCCGTAGATTTGGGAAATCCTGATGGTTCTGGTGTTGCTAATCCCTCCTGAACTCTTGGTCATAATCTAAGTAAATTTATTTTGTCACGTGGAATTCTACACATATAGTTAAAAGCAGAAAAGCTGAGGTTTTTTTTTTTTGGAAAATAGAGAGTGGTATTTAAACATTTGCGCGTAGGAAATTAGTATTCACGTATCTTTTACGCAAAAATTAATATTCACATAATTCCATGTGGGGAATCTCCACTTACTTATTTCTACATAGAAAAGCGGTGCTCGTACATCCCCACCCGAAAAAGTGCTAATTACACTCCCGCGCTTGGAAAAATTGCACTCATTTGTGATCATTTTTGTGAACTGAAAGCAGTTGCATGTTTTTTATCAACGTGAAAAGGTAGCACTCACGTACTTTCACGTAAAAATTGCTAAATAGTCCCATGCGAGAAAGTTGTACTTACATATTTCTACATAGAAATGCGCTGCTCACATACCCTTATTTGAAGGAGTGGTACTCTCACGCTCTCACTTAGACATATCCCCATTTGTGATTTCAAAGCAGCTACATATTTTTCCCGCACATTTTGCGTTTAGGGCTGCTATCATATTTCTTTTATTTAGGGCTGCTATCATATTTCTTTTAATTTCACCCTAATAAACAATTATTTTTTAAGTAATTTTATTTTATCAATACCACAACCATCATACTGACGAAGTCCCGTCGAATGGGAATGTGAGCGTCGTAACAACCCTATTTCGCTGATTAATTTATGTGTATATTTTAATAATATTGATTAATTTATACCATACATGCATATGTAATATCACTATCACAAACTGCATCTCAAATATTACAATCAAAATACTTTTTTGCACTAATTAATCTTCATCTCGGGCACTATAATCAAAATATTTTTATATTACAAACGTTCTAAACACCTCAAATAATACAGAGCAGAAATACTTTTATCCGAAAATTTTTCCAAGCGCCTCAGTTACTGTGAAATATTTTTACATGATAACTTATATGATAACTTAATTAAGATTTTTACATGATAACTTAATTAAGCACTCCAAAAGTTGAAGCAGATGCTAAGTCAGAATCATGTTCTTGAATATTTCGATTCTGGATTTTGGTCAATTTCAGCTCCATCGCTCTCACGAACAAGTACCTTCGTTGTTGTATTGGGAATAATGATTATTCATTATTGCATTTCGCTGTGTTATTAGCGAGTGTTTGTTTGATTTTGAGATTGTAAAAATCTGCATTTTCGTGTTTTCTTGTATGTTTACACGAATATAAATGTTTTTGCTTAACTGTGCTTGTAATTCTACTGAGTTCAGACATTTGATGATGTACAAAGCAACGGAAGAAAACAGTCATCTAATCAAATATTTGAAAAAAAAATTCTCAGAGCCTTTAGAAACGCTTCTGTTAGTTCGAACTTCTGTTAGCTTCTGTTAGTTGGTTATCTAGATTTGGCAACTTTTTCAACTGTTTTGGCCAATGCCGCATCGGCCAGTGGTCAGCTTGTTAGCGAACCTAACGTTCTTTTTCTCCTCTTGATCTGAATTATTTTTGCAACTATTGTGTTAAAAATACCGGGCGGCCTTTGAAGTAGCCAAGTAAACGCACAGCACGAGCTGTAGACATGCAGGTCAGAAGCAAAGGGTCAAGAGAAGCAGCGGTCAGCATATGAACGCATCCCAATAACTGCAGTAATATCGTAGAAACAGTACGGTAGCCAATCCTTGTAAACTTGCTTGGTGCGGCTATTTGCGAATAAAATGTCGAATAATTAACAACAACGGAAAGGTCAAGCGCACAATGATGACATTCTTTTATCATACAATCTATTTTTCTTCTCTTTTCCTACATTCTTTGACTCCTCTTTTTTGTTTACTTGTTTTTCAACAAATACATCACAACGATCATATTGATGAATTCCAGTTGTGGTGCTGAGAAGGAACGTATACGGCTTAATTTTTTGGACCGAAACATTCCTATTCAGATTTTTGTCTTTGCAACAATTCATACATTCCATGTTTTTCCTTTCACATGCTTTCTTATTTTTTATAAATTTTTGGATCAGTAATTAGGAGACGCATAAGAAAGGAAAGTTTTTTATATGTCTTTTAACTATTAATTCAAAAAAAACAGTATTATTAAAGTACTGCATTTTATTACTACTTAAAATTTGGGATTTCGTCTCTTCCTTGACGCTATTTCGAATTTCTCATCCTTCAACAAATTTTAGAGGATATATACGGATGATGGACCAACAGTTCAGTGGCGCGAACTGGTGACAGTTTCTAGGTTTATATAAAATGCGTATCTCGTATATGTAGATTATTCGAGCTAATGCATTCAGTTAAGGCGGGCAGATGCGGGATGGGAAGGATGGAAGGTCGTGACCCATAATGGGGTCACAACCGGCAATCTATGGTCAGTTTACACTGCTCCAGCGAACGGCATGCTCTACCGTTGCCTCCGTTTCGAGCACATACAGGTTCTTCTCTAATTATCTACCGTACTATTTTTTTGATGCATTTTTTGCCTTGGACGGTCATCGTTCTTTCTTTAGCTCCACAAAGGTCAGCTAGTTCCAGGTTATGCGCTTTTCTAGGCTTCTCTGCATCTCTCCAATACACATATTTCCTTGTCTGTGATCTTCAAGCACAGAAGGCTTACCACACCCATACTGTGACCTCTGTTCGTACATTTTGGCGCCTCTGGAACCGGCTATAAAAGAGCATACGACAACCGCTTCTATTCTTAGTATCACGCGCTATGTTTTTCGGCTTCTTCAACTCGAATCTACGACGATGCGGAGTTCGGTGTCCTTCAATGTCAATCCCGCGGTACCGTATCCAACTGCTCCTCCGCAACAACTGTCCTCTGCCACCAGTAGATCTAACCTTATCTGCACAACTTCATGTCATGGGCCGCGCTTCTCGGCCTTTTCGGCTTTATCGACTGTAGCGGAACAAAGTTGAGAAACGGTCACGCGATGCGGGGATCGACCGCTCCACTGCGGCAACCGACTTTTGCTAAAAGTGGACCATCTCGGATGTCCTTCGCGACCGAAGAAATTCGAGAATGACCCACCACTAAGAAGGTCGAAATCTTCCGTGAAGACCTCGGGATCCGCATCTGGAACTGTTCACGGGCAATTTCGCTAGTGTCTCTGGACAAACAGCAAAAAGAAAAAACAGTTCTAGGGAGATTGCTTGTCGGATTCATATTCACTACCTTAAATCTGCCCCTGCGACTCCACCACCTTGCTCTTGATATTTTGGATGTACATGGTTTGAAACAACCTTTGGATGTATATAAGCCCCCACTAACGCTATACCACGCTTTGTACTGGCTTTTTGCAGAAATCTATCACATTAACAAGCTTACTGAATCTGCTAACGTTATCATGGCACGCGGTCGATCATCGGGAGCAAGCGGATCTAAGGTGAAGTCACCAAAGAAGACCAAATCTCCACGAAGAAAGGGGACCAAGAAAGCCAAGGTTGGTTTTTTTCGAGTTGCTGCTTTCTCACCAGAACGCTATTAACAGGAGATGCCTATACGACGTGCCCGGGATACCTTGGCATCCACCGGGGTATGGAAAATAAGGGAGGAGGAAGGGGCGGGGGAGGGGGGGAAATCCGGGAATTCCTTCCATCCTGGAGGATGAAAAAGCTCATTAAGAGGTTTTCTACCTCACAGAAGTTCTTTAGGATCCAAATGCTCCAAAGCGTGCGAAGTCAGCGTATATGTTTTGGCTGGCCGAAAACCGCGCCCGTCTTACAAAGCCAGGCATGTCGGTTGTTGACGTCACGAAGGCGGCGGGAGTGGAATGGAAAAAGGTGAAGGACAAGACCAAGTACGAGAAGATGGCCGCCCAGGACAAACTGCGCTACAATGCGGTTGGTTTTGAATATACAGAGTTGGCACCCCTTGAAATTTCTAGTGACACGTTAATGGTACCAGATACCCAGGAAGAAAGTGCCAATATCAGATTAATAAATTACCCTTTTTGTAAATTAATAAATTTTTGCTAAATAACCTTTTTTGGTGAACTGGCCACTGTATTGACTACTGTTAAGTTGCTTGGTGCCCGGCCTGCTGGCGATCCTAACGCTCGTTTCATCTCCTCAAGAGATTCCTTTAACAAAAGCATTTGAAGGAAGTTTTGCCCAACTTTGAGTGATGAAAATGGTAAAAATGGTGAGCCAGGTTACTGACCCAGAAATAGTAAGCATTTACAGGACGAGGAGGGGTCCAGAAGTCAAAACACACTCAACGGGGATCCAGAAGTTTTCTTCAGTCAAAACACAGATGGAAGCCTTTAGCTCTTATAATAGCTGGCGACATAGGTGATGATCTCCAGATCTAGTTCTGGTTAACCTTCTTTTTTGCAGGAGATGAAAAAGAGAAAGGAAGGTGGCGGCGGTAGCGGTGGCAGCAGCCCGAAGAAGACCAAAAAGTAGGAGAATTCTCCATTCGCAGAACGGCGATCTCGTAAATTTTTTTTTGTTAACGTGATCTCTCGATGGCCTTAAGCCGTCGCTTCTTTTTTTGATTTTTTGTATTCGCTTCATTCTCGAGCTTTATAAGCTCTATGTTATTCTTCTTTCGTATTGTATGCGTTGAGCTATTTCAAGCTCAGCCTGGCTTCTGATCGTCGTGTTTTCTGCGTTAACCTCAGCTGACATAACGTAACAATAAATGTTGGAATGTTGAAGTTTTCAAACTGTTTGCAACACGGGGTTTCCCCGCATCAATGCATTATCACTGCCCTTCGTTTCGTTGATCTATATGTCGCACTTTGTCGTCATTCTTTGTCGTACATGCCCAGCTTTTCCTCAGCTAACAGAAGTGTTGCGTGCCAGATCGAGCATTCAATTTTGCGGCTGGGACAACTAAACTTTGTACGATTCGTTCACTCGCTTCGGTGGTAAATTGGTACTGGCATATACCCGGGGTATGCAATCGCTGAAGGAGGCCCTCATCGACGGCCTGTTGGCGAATAATTGCTGTCGGCATTTGCTACTTTTCAGGCTATGACGGATATTGCCTTGCGGATACTGGCACTCATAGATAGGACTTCAGTTTTTGCCTTTGACTAGGATTTCTGCTTCAGTTTCGCGATTTCGATCCAGGACGCAATTGATTTCCTACCCATCCGGCCGGATACACGTCCCCGCCAGGATTCGATGTGCATTTTTCATTGGTCCTTGGTTCTGCGTGTTTCAGGTGTTTCGCTCTGGAGATCTACTGCTGTTTCATTCCTCGCATCGTCATCATCGAGCTGACATATAGAAGTGCGTCTGCAAAGTTCGTCTCCAGTAGAACTAGTGTGAAGGAGCTTTGCTGAACGTGAAACGTGAGGAATCTTCGGACTTGAAACGTGAACTCGTGGATCACACCCAGGCAATTTTCAAGACAGAGCGCAAGCGCAGCTGACCAATGCTAGGAAGGTAAGTATTTCAAATAGAAATAAGTATTTCAAATTCACAACTCGCTAGTTTTTCCTTGACCCCATTTCTGAAAATTTTAGAACCCGAAACTTGAGGCAAATTCTGGAAGCACGACGGGTGATGTCTGGAAGCACGACGCTTATTCTAATTGCAGAAAATGGAGGACGGGGCCGAACAGCCTGATCCGAGTACCGTGGTATGGAGAAGCGTCGGAGTGCCTGAGGAAGCTGCAGCCGCTCGAATCCGTGAACGAGTGAGAGCTCGAAGGAGTGCACAAAGGCGACGCTTCTACTGGCGCATGGGTCGACGTGTGTTCATTTGTACAGCTGCTTTTGCATGCACTGTTTTTGCCTTTCATTTGCTCCTCAAAAGCCCTACGCTTATTATTGAAACTTTTTTAAATGCTCTTAGATGAACCTGCGGTGCTAAGATGTCTTTCATTGCTTTGCTCTCTCTCATTGCTCATTCGATTTGCCCGTTGGAAGCACTTGTTCACTTTCCCGATGGATTATTCACTTACTCTATTATTTATGTCCCAATCCAATAGCCAGAAATTAAACAAGCTTTGTGGATGACATAGTTCTTATTGTGAGCAGTCCTCGCCAAATAAAGTAGACGCTGCGGAAACTCAACGGATACAGCAAGCAAGGGAGTCAAGGGAAAAACAATATTTCTTAAAAAACAAAATTTTAGAAATTCCAATAAGACTAAAATTTAAAACAGGTTCTACCCAGCCGTTTGCTTAAGTGAAAAATTTCAATAATATCCAAAAGCCGTCCACTATTTGTACAAGCAAAGAAAAATTTTTCGAAGCAAAGAAAAAAATTCGCATGAACGAAAGTTATCAAAATTTTTTTTTGGTTGAGCTAGCTTCGGTGCGAGATGCGAGAATTCGGTAGCGTAATCTGTGCCTTAAGATTTCTCTCTCAGCACGGTATTTTGTCTCTTTCCGGGTATTATGCCTACTTCGCTTAAATGATGCTGCCTTCGTCGTCATATTGCTATTGTGGTATCGTATTTTTGATTACACAATAAAAGTATCCAGATGATGTGCTGCTGCAAGTGTTACTTAACCTACGCAGGTGGCAGGATTTTCTGCATTCAGCTCGCTAAATTCAGCACATTTTTTAGGGCTATTCTTTCTAAAGAAACTTGTAGTTGAAACCTTTTTCTAGAAACTTTTTAGACTAGAAAAACTAGAAATTATTAGAAACTTTTTACAAAAAAAAGCTTAAAAAAAGACAAAAAAGACAAACTCTCCAGGAACTCGTAGTTGCTTTTTACGAAAACTTGAACAACCAAACTTGGCCGAATCAACTGCACTGAACAATATGGTTCCTTCTTCCTGGTATATAGCTTAACTGGAAGTCCAAAATTAATGTCCGGTAACATATTACTAGCAAAAAAGTGAAAAGTGAATAACCTGCTTTTGAAAGAGTTTTGGGATTCCTATATCTACCCACAAGCTTTCACTGAAAGAAAGCAAAGTACAGCAAAAATGCAACACTCTGTGTGTAGTGGTCGTTGTGGCGCCGGGTATCAACAGAATTTATCAGTACTCACAGCATAACAAAGAAAAAACATGTGGTGCAAATGTATTTAAGGTTGAATGAAAATTTTGTTGAAAAATATAAGGATGATAGAAAAGATGAAAAAGGTAAAAAGGGGGAGGGGGTTGACAGATCTGATTTGTGGTGAGTCATTTTCCGAGAGCCGAAGGTGGAAGGGTACTGGCGATACCGATTGCGAAGCCGAGCTAAGATCCGTATGTCCAAAGCCCCCTGTTTTAGTAGTCTTGGTAGCTCGCATTCACAGAAATCCCGCTGTAAATGAGAGGATTGTTGGTTTATACAGGGTTGCTGAGTCACGTCCTCCGCCAGTACGTTTGTGTAAGCGGACATCTAGTACCGACAACAAAAGCAGACGTCTCAATACTATACTTTTTGACAAAAACGTTTAAAATTAGGAGGGGTGATCTCTAATAACTCCAGGCGGGACTGCCTTGCTGTAGGTATAAAAATATTTCCTACAAAAGCATTACGAAAAATCCAAAAGATTTGGTAAGATGCTACCTTAATGGTAAGATGGTAAGACCCCTTCATATACTTTTACATATACTTTTACTAGCAAATTAATATAACTATGCGATACAGGTTAAGCTATGCAATACAGATCAGTCTCGTACAGCTGCAGAACTGTGCTATAGCAAAAGTGCCACCAAATTATAACCGTCATACTGAGGAGATCCAATTGTGCTAATGGTAAGAAATGTATAAGACTTAATGGGCCGGAACATGGTAAGAAATGTATAAGACTTAATGGGCCGGAACATTTCTTACCATTACAATAATTTTAATAAAATAATTTTTATGGGAGTGTGAACTAAATGGGAGAATCAAAGAAAGGAAGATGAAAATGAAAGGACGGAGAAAAAACAGAACGATGAAGTGAAAAGGAAAGGAGCTAAGACGCTCCGGTCCAGTAAGTTGTAAATCTCGCTCTTCACTCGGTGTATGGCGATGGACCGACAACCGAAGGGCGAAGGACAGCTAAAAATCTCAAATGTTGGGCGATCCTTAGGTTAGATTTTAATAAAAGATATGATGTCATCTATGTCTTCGCCTTCACCATTGCCGGCGATGTCGATGAAGTGGAAAGTTTTGTGACGGGCTCCAGTACGGTGAACTTTTGAATAACATAAGGGCTTATTCAGAATAATTTTGTTATCGTTAGACAACATAAACGTCGCAGTTGAACGTTACATACCATTCCAGACCGTCGATGTGCATATTCACTAAAACGCCGGATAGGCGCAAAGTTGGTACCATTACGATACTTTTTCACCACAAACAATTTCGGCGCATCCCAAGTAGCGACAGTACAAGCTAGCTATATAAATATCTCCAATTGTAACCCAGGCTGTCGATCATCCGAATGATGGGCGATTCGCTGCATACGTTGCTAAACCAAATTGAGTTGCCGTCGGAAAAAAAGAACACGACAAAGAGGAAATGTTACGACGAGGAGACGACACGAAGATACGACGACGAATTTTCAGCAAATTATTCGGATGGGAAGCTTCGGACGAGACTTGGATGAACGCCGATATGCTGTATGCGCTTAGTGGTGAGACTGGAGTAAACCAAACGAACTTTATCAACACCAATACAAGTTTACAGCTGAGTACTTGAGGCGACGGGTTCAAGTCGGACGATCACAGCGCCAGCCGCTGCAGACGAAGAATACTGATCACTGCGGTGCAGCAACACACTGCTGCAACTGAACACTAGACGCCAAACACGGAACACGGACGCGGGACACTGAACGACGAATACTGAACACTGGACGATGAACACGGAACACTCAACAAATTTACAGATTTAAATACTCATCACAAAGGGCGGGACTGATCACAGGTCAATTTGCTGCGCGATTCTGGATTGCTCTTTGCTTCTCCTACGTGCCATCTTTTATTTGCTTTACAGAAAGGCACGAATAGGATGAGACAAAACAAAATAGCTTGTTTTTGAAGTGGTTCTCGTCTTCACTAGTTCGCATTAACCATAGTTCACAAATACGGTCGCTGTAGAGGAAGTAAGTTTGTGGATCAGTTGTAAGAAAACGGAGGACGAAAAACAGGCTGATTGTGGAGCTAAGGACATGCGTGGCGAATGAATTAAAGTAAAGCTTCTTACGAACGCGTACCACAAATTACAATTGAGTTGACTGAAGCTTTGCTGATTGGATTGCACCCGACTGGTGTCAATGCTCAATAAGCAGGAAGCGTGTTGCAAAATTCCTGATCTCAGACAGAAAAAGAATGAATTCTTGAATTACCAACCAGTACTGCCAAGCGGTCCAATAATCTAATTTTTTTTCACAGCAACACGGCCAACAACAATTTTCTTCAAGCGAGTCGGGAACACACAAATAAAA